TGCAGCAGCTCTGCGTCATTATTCTCATAACAGCACATGGATAATTGAGCCTTTGTCACTGAGGCCCTACAGGAGTATTCCAGGCTGCCTGCATGTCAGCTAACTTATAATTACAATAAAGCGGCTGCGCTGCAGAGCTGCTGGCTGCGCCTGCCACTCGTCTGTCTCTGCTCCAATAAATCATCTCGCCGGAGCCAGCACTTGTAATGGAAAGTCGATTGATTACAGTTTCCAGCTCTGAATTGCATAGTATAAGGCGGTGGTTAGCGCGCAGTTTAAAGTAGCTACCTTATAAAAACCACATCGAGTCCTGCGTGGATCTAAAGGCATTCGCAGCACTTATGACTCAGAGAGAAAACAGATGCAAACATGAAGGGAGACCTGTGAAGATAAACTAAAGGAGAGCTTCAGGTTTTAGGACTTGGACTCGTTGGAGCCACATCACAACAAATGAGCTCCAGCTTGGAAGTCAGACGTCCTGAACTGAATGATTCACACCATGTTGGACCGAATCCAGACCAAGTTCTGCTTTCATCATGTGATCACTTCCCAAACTCAGCTTCCTGCTGGAACTTCACAAAACGCAGGATCTGGACCAAGATGGTCAATCTGAAGCTTCAGGATTTAGAAAAACTTTATATTCCTGTTTAAAAATCTAAACTATCAGAGGAGGAACGGATCAATGATCCATGAAGTTTGGGATTTTATAAACCTTTATAAACAAAATAGTTTTTCAGCCAAGTTGGTGAAAAAAAACAGAAGCTCTAAAATTGCTCTTTCTAACAATTAATATGAATGTTTAATGAAAGACTATAATCTATTATCAGTATAAAATAAATCATTGCTGGGATGATGGACCAGTTTACAACCAGTTGGTCTTAACTAAGTTCCCCCTGTGAACTAGTTAGTCTTAGTTTAAACTAATCTGCTCTTATATTTAAAGTATGTCCCAGTTGAAGCTCCCTGCTGCCCCCTAGAGGCTGATATGGGAAGCAGTTGTTTGGATAATTTCCTAATTTGCTAAAAGTTGAAGTTCTCTTTGTTAGCTCATTTATTTAATAAACTCTATTTCTAGTTTTTCATATTCCTACAGCCTAGATCTGCAGGCTGTAGAAGTAGATCTGCTGGCTGTAGAAGTAGATCTGCTGGCAGTAGAAGTAGATCTGCAGGCTGTAGAAGTTGCTGGTTCACTCACCTGCCAGGCCCTTGGAGGGCAGCGGCTCTCTCTCGGACTGGATGGGCAGCGCGGGAGTCTTGAGGCGCGAGGCTGTCCCGGTGCGGAGCCACCACGCGCAGCTGAGCGCGCACAGCAAGCAGCGGAGCGCGCGGGGAGCCTGCATCCCAACCCTCCTCAGGCTTTGCTTCCTTCCTCCAACTCTAGTTTCTCCTGATGCTTCTGCTCTGGTTCCTCCGGCAGGAAAAGCAGAGAGTCCAGCAGCTGAGGGCGGAGAGAGAGTCTCTGATCTGGGTCTGATCTGAGCAGGGGCGGCCCTCCCCGCTTTATAGGCTCCTTCTGACAGCTGGGGGGGGGGGGGGGGGGGGGGGGGTTATGGAAATGAGTCAGCCTCTGATTTACTGACTATAAA